GTCGACTTACAGATCGAAGACGAGATAATGAAACGCCTCTTCCTGAATATTGTCATGCAACCGAACTGCAAAAATTGCAATATAAGATGATCAGTGTCAATAATACTTATACAAATGCTAACAGTTCTTGTAAGCCCTGAGACTAACGTTGTTCTTTAGCATTAGAAAGAATTAAGTAAAGAAGATGATAAAGCGTTGAGCTCAGAACCAAAAAAACAAAGTCATTTAATATATGTTCTGAAAAACTCCAGCACTTGAAGTCCCATCAGACTTCATAATCTTCACTTCATTTACTTGAAAATTTAATTAATACCTACCAATATTAGGATGTTGTAGCTTCCGACAAATTCTAGCTTCCCGTTCCAGCTTTTGAAAGTCTAAATTGGCAGAAAGAGAACAATAAAACGAAAACAAAGTATCTGAACAAAAGAGACTCACAACAGAAACTGAACTGAAATCTATGAATTAACAAAAAATATCGAAAGAATAAAGAACAAAAAAAAAAAAAAAAAATCAGATTTGTACGCAGCAATTTGAACGAACAGTGTTTTTCCTGAAAACTATAGAATTTTTACGGCTCAACTCTCCTATCCCAATATTCTAGCCTTTCCGAGCAACTCCAAACAGTAATTCATTCACTGGCCCAAATCATGACCTTCTTGTTATCTAATATCACAAATAAGATCAAAAAAATAACACAAGCCAGATAAAATTTTCATATGTTGCCCAGAAACTAAATTTCTCCTAAAAAAGGCTTTATAAAGACTATCAAACTTAAATCCCTGCTGTGAACAAACTTGACTGTTCCCGTACTAAAAAACAGCACAAACGAAAATCATCAAACAGAACACTAACCCCTAGTAGAAAGTTTCTTTGTATTGATTATTTTGGCTGCAAATTCCAACCCAGTTTTTTTCTGAATGCAACGCCTGACCACCGAAAAAGCACCTCTGAAATGAAGTTGACAGTTTCAATGTTTTATGCGAAGAAAATAAGCTAGACAATGTACATTTCTTGCTGCAAAACCTTCTGCCAACGAAAATATAAATGATAAGTATAGGTACTAACTTCAAAAGCATTGCTCAAGACAAGGCACAACTTTAAACCTACTTTCCAAGCTCTTCACGGACTTCATAATTGTCACTGAAGTTTGTGGAGGTGTTGTTCATGATATTAACCGGTTGATTAATGGCCACCATCAAAAATTTACGCTATTCTGCAGCAGCATTGCAAATCGCGAAATCAGCAGCCCCTTCCAGCACAAAAGATTCAAGATCCTATAAAAAAAAAATTTATCCAACTATAAATCAAATTCACCATATACATGTTTACGTAGAACGAAATAACTGTTCAAAAAAAAAAAAAAAGTTTC